GCAGGAGTAGAACCCCTTTCCTTTCATGCCCCTCCATGGCCCCCAGATGCAGCAGGTTCTTGACCTCCTAAATGAGGAGTTGCTTGTGAGAAGGGTCCCTGAAGAGGGACGAGGAAGTGGGGAGGGGGGGCTAAAAATTGCAGGGTATAGACACGAGCTATTATGACCAGGACCCCATGGCCTCATGTAACCCGCAACCAGGCAAAGTGATGGGGAAAAGGTGGTTGAGGAAATGTAGCAGTGGATCTGGGGAATTAGCTGGAGTGTCACTCTCAAACATGCCATCAAAACAAATGCTTCTGCCCTGCAGAATGGTTGGCCTGGGCAGGCTGCACAGTGGGAGACAGAAGGGCAGTGACAACTAAATGCAGTGTCCCTGTCCCTTCTTCTAGCAAGCCCAGAACAAGGCTGCTATGACCTTGGTGGTGGGGGTGGCCAGAAATGCTTATGCGCTGACTGTGGCGTGTGAATGCCCAGTGAACAGAGGTTGGCTTTGGTGTCCTTCATTCCATGCAGCCTTGCATCCATATGATCACAGAACAGACTGTTCCAATCGAAAGGGAGGTCTTGAATGGAGTTCTGCATCTCCGGGGAGAGTCCAGTGGTTTGAAGCCAGAAGCTCATCGCCACCTTGGACACCACCATCCTGGCTGCCAAGACTGCCATATCCACGCCATCTGAAGGGCACACCAGGTTGCCATGGTACCCTCCTGCACCAGAGTGACAAATTCTTGGACCCAGTCTTGTGGGAGGGACTCCTCAAACTTATGGAGAGTGTCCCATAAATTGAAGTTATAATGGCCCAAGAGGTTCGCCACCCGAAACTGTAGACTTAGAGTGGAATAAATTTTTCTTCCAAACAAGTCCAGTTGCCTGGCCTCCTTATTTCTTGAGGTGGAACTAAAGTGCCCCTGTCTCTCCTTTTCATTGGCTGTGGAGATCACCAACAAGCTGGGGGGAAGCTGGGTATAATAATACTCAAAATTTTGGCTGGGACAAAGTACTTTTTCTCAGCATGGTTTGAGGTGGGAGGGATGGAGGAGGGCATCTGCCAAATGGCCCTGGCAATTTTGAAGACCCTTTCATGCCGGTAGTGCGACATGGGTAGGGGTCGAGGCTGACAGGACGTTGAACAGGGTGTCCTCCTGTTCAGCCATCAACTCCACTTCCAGGCCCAAGTTTTCAGACAATCACTGAAATAAGGCCTGGTGGTTTTTAACATCATCAGGCAGGCCGGCTCTGGAGCGTCCCACGATCGCCTTGTAGGAGGACTGCAACGGTGGAGGGGGAGACTGGTCTTCCTCCTCCGCTGGGGAGGATGGCTTGGGGGTAGGCACAGCTTCCTGAGACTCAGCCACCGGGTGTGCTTCTGGTACCGGGCCTGCTGCCGATGGCTGCTGTTCTGTGGCAGCGGCCAACGAGTGGACCGAAGGGGGCATCACCATGAGCAGAATCCCCCAGGCATTCCAACATGGCCACTGCGCTGGCCACTTGCCTGGCTGCCATTGTCCCGGTATCACCAATGTTGGCTTGGACATCCAATCTTGTCACTGGGTATGAGGCGATGGGCTGAAGCGGCCCTGAGATCCAGAGGAGTCCCCTTCTGGAAACCATGGAGGGGCCGTAGAGGCCACTGACACCAGGGACTGGTGCCCCGCCTGAGGGGACTGGTACCGACGGTGCGGTGACCGGGGACAGTGCCGAGGAGCTTGGAGGCGGGAAGGAGATGGGATTGGTGATAGGACAACTTCCAGGATGGTGACCGGCACCGGTAATAGGGGGATTGATGCCTCTCTCTCGGCAAGCCGCGTTGAGATGACGGCGACCATGACTGTGGGGACGGTGACTGACGGTGAGTCTATGCCAATCTCGACAATGGCACTGGTGTCAAGCAGTGCAAAGGTGAAGAGCACGCCATCGTCTCAAGGGATCGGCGGTGCTCCACCACTCCCTGGGGAGCTACATCGGCTGGCTTGCCCTCTTGGGGAGCCTTAGCCAAAGCCTGCAGCACTAGATTCACTGGCAGCACAGGCGGCTTCTGCTCCTTCATTGCCTGAGCTCTCAAAGGCATTGGTGCCAATGGGGAAGTTGGTCCAGTCTCAACTTGCAGGAATTGGAGGAGGACCTTTTACTGCGCTAACGGTCCCAACTAGAGAGGGCCGACTGCAGGGCTCTGGGGTGGACGGGTGATCTGGGGAAGGTTCTTTGCTTACTGTCAACTGGCCCTTCTCTGACGGCGGTGGGGAGCTGTGCTTCTTTGCCCTCTTCTTTGGTACCAGCGACATAAAGTGGTGCCGGGTGTGCCCCGGTGGCGTACTTCATACCGATGCTGAGCAGACTCCATAAGGAAAGCTCTGAGCCGGATGTCCCACTCCTTCTGCGTGCGAGGCTGAAAGTTTTTACAAATCCAGCACCTCTCTTTAATGTGCACTTCCCTCTAGCACTTGAGACAGCTGCCATGGGGTCGCTAACAGGCATAGACCAGTTACAGGATTTGCAGGGCTTAAAACCCGAAGACCGGGACATGCCCCATCGGAGTCAGAGTCCCCACTGGGACCTAACTACTAACAAACTACTACAATAAACAGGTACTTAACACAAATAATAACTATATACAAAGCCTTAAGGCACACAGTTTGAGATAAGAAAAACCTCTAGCCCTTGATGAGCAAGGAAAGGCACTCTGACTGACCACCACGGGCGGTGAAAATGAACTGAGAGGGTGTAGGGCCGGCAGCACCTGATCTATGAGTGCAGCACTCAAGGGGGCGACACAGCTGGCCCTACGGAGACTGCTAAGGCAAAACCCCCCGACGACTGTGCTCATGGGCGTGCGCACACCGACAACGGAATCAACATGAGCAAGCACTCGAAGGAGGAATCTGCTTATGAACCTTAAAAGGGCCTGTGTATCCCATGACATCAATTAGAATCAAATGTAACCATGTGAAATTTTACCATTAGTTCTCAGCCCACAATAAAAAACTTTCTGAAATGTTTCTGTCAAATTAGACAAGGGATTTCCAAGATAAAGAGGTTCCAAAAAATGAAGTGTGTCTCATTTTTTATCATATCTTCAAAATCGCTTTGCTCTAGAAATTCCACTTTTTTCCCTGCTGATCCTGGCATGTGTTGTTGCCTTTATCTTTTTTTGGGGAAGGAGATGATTTGTGTGTACAACTTTGCAGATATGATCTCCTTTTATATGTACATAATGAATTCTTTATTTCTGCTGGTTTTCTATAAAGCATGCATCAAGTCAAAGCACGCTTTATATTCCAACAATGCACAGACTAAAAGAGGAAAGGAAAAGCCACATGAAAGACAAAGCCTCATGGTAAGAGGAATATGAGAAAGAAAGAAAGTGGAGGTATGAAACTCTCTGGGAAGGAAAGGTCTATCTTGGTGCAACTTGCAAAGTTTTCTGGGAGTTTTGTCACTGAGAAATTCTTTTTTTTTTTTTTTTTGGAACAGTTGAAATGCCCAGGCAAATAATTTCACCACCCTGGAGTTAAGGTTGAATAGACATAACAATGACCCTTTTTTGAAAATTCTTTAAGAGAATTACCATTTAAAAAAATCCTAATTCTAAAAATCCAGATATTCCAAATTTATGGATAGTATAGAAATGCCCAGAAAGGAGCAACTGTGCTCCCATTGTCACCAACCTCAGAACAACCAGACATTTAGACACATTTTCCATGGACAACAACAGAGGTTCATTTTATCTGTGATTTATCTGTAATCCCAACAATTAAGAACACTTTGTACTATAATATCCTAATCTTACAGTAATTACACAGTATGGTATCGTTTAAACCAAACTGCACCTGTGTTTACATCACTGAGCCGTGCACCGATCCCATAGTTCTACCTGAACTCCTAGTTAACTAATTTTTCTTTCTACAAACAGTAATACCATGTGAGCTCCTGTAAGTATGAAGGGTCTGGTATGGTTACTATTCCAAAGCTATTTGTGCCAGGAAATTAGCTCTAAAATGTAACTCCATATACATATTTTCAGATCCTAGGTTAATGGTTCGATTTTCTAATTTTTTTAAAAAGGGAAACAGTTGCGCTGTTTTGTTTGAAAACACAACACTAATAGAAAAATCCTGGAAGAGAATATCTACATATCATCATATTCCAATTTTAGAGGAGTTCATTTAAAAAAAATCAAAAGCTCTAACCCTATGTGACAGATTGTCTCTTCCCCATGTCATATTTCTGCAACTGAAATCAGGTGGAGGTTTTAAACTGTTGGATTTTCCTCCTTATATATACACATAATGTAAACTACATAATTCATCACTCTGCTACAGCATTCATATCCTTTAGTCTTTTTTTACACAGTTCTTTCTTTCCCCATGCAGTATACTTTTGATATTTTTATGTATTTCTGAATACTTCTAGTTTCTAAAGACACCATCTACAGATTTGCTAAAGTTTAGAACAGCTAAAGTGAAAATTAGAGCTGATTATAGAATGTACAACTGCCAAAATAAATGAGACGTACAGGACAGATGCAACATATATATATATATGAAAAAAAATGAGGATTTCAACAGTATCACGCTGCTCATAAAATCACAGTTCCTAAAAACATTAACATTTTCTACTCTTTGAATCAACGGTGAAAAGAACTACAGTTCTATAAATTCAAAAATGTAATGTAACAAATCACTATGCACCCGTGAAAAAGCTATCAATATGCAAAAAGTTACAAGTTAATGCGTAAACAGTTAAATTTCATATTTACTTACACTAATACAAAGTCTTGTGAATTTGCATGAGGTGAGAGGTATTAATTTTTACATTCACCGCACATAAAAACAGTGTCAGATGCTGAATGTTCATGGGAATAAATTTTCAAGCACAAGTAATGAAGTATGAAATAGGAAGTCATAGATTAGAATGACCTTTCAAAACAGGCATGGTACAGTATATTATAAAAAGAAAGTCTTTCAAGCAGCATACATAAACCACAAAGGACTACTCACTATGTCATACGCAGTTACAATCTTTTTCAAGACCTCTGGAACAGTCCCTTGTATCTCCATAGTGGGATACTGATCACTGAGATTCAGTAGTACCAGTGGTGTACTCTCAGGTCCAACCAAGCGGGTAGACACTGCCAGAATACACTGCATAAGATTTGCTACAGGAGAAAGGCCACATAATTCTTTGAATGAAACGACTGCATTCTGTTAAAAAGAAAATAAAGAAGTTACTTTACAGTTAAACATGCTTTTTAATCTCTCATTCATTCAGTTTAATAGACTTATATTTCATTGTATAATAGTTATAACCCTGCGATGGTGTAGAATTATCAATGGTTTCGTCCTGGAAAAATTGCAGTTTTCCAAAGTACCATAGATATTTGCAATATTTTATTTATCAGAGATATTAAAAATTCAAATAGACTTAAAATCCTGCTACAGAAAATAAATGTTACTTAGAATAAAGAGGTTGTAATATGCTACTATTAACTTCAATTTGTCAATAAATATAAAAACAATGAACTACTAATCCATGTTGATTGAACAAGCTTTTGAAAAGTTTCAGAAAGTATTTAAAATGTTTTTAAATCCAACTGCTTAAATGTTATGTGCTGAATGTCTCAAATAAACTTAGTAAGGTGGAGGGGGCAAGTCAGTCCATTTGTAACTTTAAACATACCTATTGTATGTCAGCATTCTCCAGACATGCTGAGGATCTGCTGGCTCCCACTTGGTGTGATGCCAGAACGCTGCACTCCACTAGTGATGTCACACTATCACTTAGATGACCTTCTAAGAGTACTTGTTAAACCCAATATTGTACATATTCCAAGAGTTTATAGTATTTTTATTTTGTATTTTGTAGGCTAGAATATAAAATATATATGTTTAAACTTAAGAAACATTGAAATATTGTAAACATCAGCCATTTATCTTAATCCTATAAAATGATTCCAGCCTCCTGTCAACTCCCATGATGGGAGTGCTCTCCACCATACTGAATTTAGGGTTGTTGCACCAAGTGGGAGGTGGCGATCTGTGGCAAGTCTGGAGTTTGTGGACCTGTAAGAGAAAAATAAGTAAGTTTAAGTATCAAATGTTCCAAGTGCTCCTCTTATCTTGGTCATTTGGGATATTCTGCACATATTTTAAAGCATATGACATATAGCATATAGGTCTTGAGTGACATTTTTACTTTCTGAAAGACCCTTTATACTGCCAGAAGGGTGTAAAGTTTTAGTGTAAATGGGAATCAGGGCTTAAATACGTAGGCCACTTTTAACAGACAATCCACATCAAGTTGACCTCAACCTATTTTTAAAAAGAACCTATTATGTATAAATTTGTATACATAAGTTATTTCCAGTGCAGTGACTGGTACATCACACAACTATTAATATCAATTTTTAATTGTGAGAGTAATTAGCCATTGGAACAATTTAACCTAGGGGTTGTGATCGATTATCCAATACTGACAATTTTTAACTCAAGATTGGATATTTTTCTAAGAAAATATGTTCTAGGAATTATTTTGTGGAAGTTCTATGGCCTGTGCTACACAGGAGGTCAAACTAGATGATCACAATGGTTCCTTCTGGCCTTGGAATCTATTAATTTTGCCTTTCAAATAATTTGTTTTCACTGTTTAGTAAACCAAGGCTATTTGTAATAATTAGATTGGAATTTAATAAAACAACAGGACATCTGAAAAGACAGGCCTTATACTGATCTTCATTCATAGATCTCAAACTTTACAAATGTGGATAAACATTACAAACAGCAATTTTACAGAAAAGAAAACTAAGACCCAGAGAAGTTAAGTGGCTTGTCTAAGGGTACATAGCAAGTCAGTGGCAGGACGGTGAGCAGAATTCAGGTCTTCTGGCTCCCAGTTTGATGTCTTACCCACTAGGCCACGCTGACTTTCATGATTTTCTGCACTGCCAAGCAAAGTGGATGTTCTATACCCTATCCAGTATAATCACTGACATCATACACTCAGCTGTGATAGTGATACAAGCTTTTGTATTACTAACACGATGCATATTGCTGACTACAGAAAAAAGGCCTAGTATGGATAAAAGGATTCTAATGATTACTCAAACAAAATCTTGGTGTAGTTCACTATACTCCTATGTGTACTTTATTCCATGAAATACTTTTCTATTTCATATTTAGAATCCCTAGGTACCCGAAGTTGTCTGTCTTTCTAGTTGCTATATCATGGCAATTATAGTAGTAAATTAATATGTAATTAAGAAATTAAACTATTTCAAATTCCCTGACATACATTTTGCAATTGTCTGTATTTTAATGGGATTTTTTCATTTATTTTTAGGACAGTTTATACAGGGTGTAGCAGAGATTATATTTATATTACAATTTAAATTTTTATAGACACATTATGCAAATCTGTCAGTTAAAATAATCAAAATTAGCATTCTATCATTCACCTAAACTATATCCCTCTTGGGGACATTTCCAGGTATGCTACTGATAAATTGGGAAGATGTAAGTACATCTTTCAAAGTAACAGAAAGAAATGCATACAAGGAAATTCCTTCCCATGCACTGACCCTAAAAAACCCTACAAAATTACGTTTTTCAAAAACACACCAATCTGAAAAATAAAATAGCATACTAGTTACGAGCACACCTTCTTATTGTACATTCAAGTCTTAGGATCCAGGTTTCTCCTTAAGGCACTTTAAAAAAATCTCCTAGCCTATACACAAAATGGAATTAGAGCCTCTCGTTAATTACAGATTAAATTCATATCTAGTCTGCAATCTGAATCTCATTTACCAGTCATAATCATTCCTCCACATTTTGCTAATAATCTTTGCTTATGGAATGGAATGGGGAAGTTGTAGGAGACTGGACACAATTCATAAGAACAAGTGTGCAACACATCATGCAAATCTGTCAGTTCAAATAATCAAAATTATTTTATCATCCACCTAAACTATATTTGTCTTGGGGACATTTCCAGCTATGCTAGTAATAAGATGGGAAGATGTAAGTGCATCTTTCAAAGTAACAGAATGAAATGCATAAAAGAAAACTCCTTCCCTAGCACTCCTAAAAACCCTAATAAAATTACATTTTTCAAAAACACACCAATTCTGAAAAATAAAATAGCATGCTAGTTACGAGCACACCTTCTTTTTGTATATTCAAGTCTTAGATCCAGGCTATCCTTGATTAAGACACCTTAAAAGAAATCTCCTAGACAGTACACAACGGAATAACAGACCTTCCTTAATTACAGATTAGATTCACATCCAGTCTGCAACCTGAATCTCATTTACCAGTCATAATCATGCCTCCAAATTTTGTTTGTGATCTTTGCATATAATAATGTCTTTGGCATAAATCATACTGAATGGAATGGGGAAGCTGCTGGATACAATTCAGAAGAACAAGTATAATCTTTAAAGTTTGCAATACTGTTAAAATCTTTCATTTATTACAACTTTCAACATAACTTTATTCATAAACAAAAGTTATCTGCACTGATATACAGTACAAACACACACCCTTTTAAAATCTGGAATTGAGCCTCAAGCACGTTTCTCTGAACGAGTTTTTCCTTAAAGTCATATAAAATAAGAAGATTTAATAGGTAACTTTTTTGATACGGTTATACTTAATTTTATTTTTTAGTGCTAGGACTTTTACTGTAGTTTTTATATAGTTAAAAGCTTCATCAAACAGAATATTAATCTTTACATTTTTCTCTACTTCTGTCCTAGATCAGTTCTTGTACCAGGAATCTTTATCAACACCCAAAAGATGCAATCCAACAGTGGGATCCATAACCCAGCATCTTAGCCTACACTACTTCCTATCATTCTGTGATACTGAATTTATTTGATATTGCAGTCTTTGAAACACGCCCTTTAGGGGAGAAGGAGTAACTCCATCCCCATTTAAAGTGTTTGTAAAATACTAGTTCTCTTTTGGATCCTGGGAAGGGAAAGATCTCTTTGAAAGATCTGCTAGTGATGTGAGGAAATTTTTCACCTCATAAAGAGATGAGGGAGCCATTATGCTATGTTCCATTTACAGGGTCCTTGAGAATTCTTTCAGATATGAGGGGTCTTTGAATATACAGTAAACTGTTCACAAGTTTTGTTATTGTTAGTAATGTTTTCTCCCTGCACTTCTTTTTTACTTAAGTTCTGGAAGCTGAAAAGTAGCCTCTACCTTTTTCTCCAGTATATCTAGTATATTCCTTCTCAAGAAATAGGGCCAATTAATAGGCTTGAATTGTAGCACAAACCATATGTTTGTACCAGGAGTTATCTTAATATCATCCAGTTGCTGTTCAAATAGAGTCTGTTTTTAAATTCATTCAGCATAAAAACGTGATAAATCAATACTATTATAAAATGCAGTTCACATTTACGTATCTATGTAACACACACTGCAGCCACACCATAATGCAAAAGTACAACTGTGGCAAAAACATTGATAATTTCATCGTAAAAACTGTACCTGCATATTTTCTCTCAAATCCGTAGCATCCCGTATAGGCTGGAGAGCATTCTTGAATACTTCATCTATGGTCTTAATCCATAATGTTCTCATAGAGGCATATTCCCTGGATTTCTTTCCTTTCCTCACTGAGAGGCCCCGTTTATGAGGTTTCCCACCACCCCTTCGATTAGTAATGGCAACATGTACAAACAAGAAAGCATGTGCTAAAATTTCTCCAGTTAAAGATTGCAGTGGAACATGCCTATAGCCTGTCTGTAAACACTCAAAGGGAATAGTGTACTGCCCAATAAATTCATCCCCAATGTAATCATCATCTAGTACTACAAAACGCATGACGGCTAGTTCAGGAAGATTAATTTGAAATTCAAAACTTTCATCAAAAATTGGATTGTCTCCATTCTGATGCACAGTTTTTGTCCTTTTTTCTGCACAGTCTGCTGGAATTCCATGAATTTCTACATATACATAAGGATCTACAACATCACCTTTGGCACCTGACCCTTTGGGTTTAGGAAAGTTTTGCCCACTAATAATTTTAACATGAAGAAGTTGAGGTGAAACTCCAGGCACAGTATCTTTTGTATTTGCACTGAAGAAGGATACTTCCTCTCGCATGATGGCAGGACGAAGGACATAGCCACAATTCCCATTTTGTCGAAACCAACCAATGTTAAGGTCCATCATTAGGCCAGGTGTCTGAAAGTTCATGGCTACTATCTGACAGCCACACTTCCAAAAATCCTGGGGATTCATATTACTAGAGTCAATCCTCATAGGACTAGGAAAAACCCTGGCAAGAAAACGTTTGTTGTAATTTACAAAATCTCCTGGATATTCATTGGCATATTTGCTAGCAAGCACTTCATTAAATGAACAAACTTCCCAGTATTTCTGAAGCTGAAATGAGACTTGAAACTCTTTGAACTGAACTGATTTACATATGCTTACCAATTCGGAAAGCTCTTTGCAAAGCTGAAATCGTTTCACTATCACAGTGTTCTGTTGTTCTGCTCCCTCTTTCCCTACTCTTTGTGACATTTCTGCTCCTTCATCTTCATCTGTAACATCTCCCTCTTGCCCAGAGCAATTAGAGGAAAGCTTCTTTGCTTTAATTAGTATTTTCCCTTTAAGTGAGTCAGGTGAGGGAAGATAAGACTCTTCTATGTTTGGAGACTGTGTGTGTAGCTTGTCCCCCAAAATTTTCATGTGTTGAACCATTACTTTCTGCTGCTTAATAGAACAATGATTTTCTAAACACAGAATAAGAGGGTATTCTGAAGCAAAAAATGCGTACTTGTTAATAATGTCAATTACACTGCGGAAGACTATCTGTGATGTCATTGTATGTCCTGTATAAATTACAGGCTCATTATCTGGACCATCCCATACATCCAATTCAACACTTCGGCAACCCATTTTAAGAGCACGAATATATCCTGTGATATCAGATGGACCTCGGAACTGGTCCTCTATCAAGTATGTATTGTGAGATGAGTTTATGAAATAATGGGATAAAGGTTGTTTCATATCCTGACAAACTTTTTTATGCTCTGGATCAAATATATGACAGTCAGGTGAAGTAAGATAATTAGTAAAACCATCTATAGAGAGCCAGCCCTTTTCCTGGCCCTCATTTGATGGTTCATATTTGTGAATAATTTCAAGGCTTATTTCTTCTGTGACATGTGCCATTCCCTGTTCTGCTTCTAAAAACATCATAAGGTCCTTGGTATCTAGGAATTCTTTATTGCTGGAAAACTGAACCAATAAGAAGTAGATCTCAGGTCGGGTACAAAGCTCATGGAAAACTTCAATAAATTCTTCCTTTGTGATTTCAGTACCAGTTTTGTCCTTGGATCGATGTAACTCTTTGAACTTCAGCTCAATTTTACTTGTTTTTAAACCCGGATTTAATTTTTTTATAAACTGCACAGCTTTATACAGGGCTATATGTCCAAAATTATCTGCATCAGTTTCACTGAACATTTGTGAAACCCATGAAGTCCGCATATTATCTTGGCTACTTTCTATCATATCTAGTGTATGTTTTCCATAAGAAATTAGGTATCTTAGCCCAGTAACCCAAATGTTTGCAACATCTGCTGAGTTAGCAACGAGATCTAGAGACTCATAATTATCTCCATAAATAATGGAAAATGCACAGTCTTCTGATATCTGGTCATAAATTCCATTGCTGCGGAATATATCTGTATTTTTTCCTGTTCTCACTTCTTTGATTGATTTAATATCAATCTTTGCTTTTTCTGAATCCTTCTTTGAAGGTTCCCAACGCAGGGACTGCATATCTGCATCTAAAAGAAAGTACCGGTGATATACTCTAGAGTTGGACCGAAACTTTTTGAGCTCAGAGCCTTCAACCATTGCATTAATACAGTCACTTGCACTACTGATCTTCTTCTCAGTCGGCATGCTGCTAAATGACACAGTCTTCTTCCGTTCTCTCTTTTGTTTTGTACCATCCTGTGGATAAAAAAAAAAGTCAATATGAGCTTGTTTATATGACATGCAAGATCTTTATGATCAAAGTTCAAAAATTAATTGAGGAAAATCTAAAGAAGGTATGTTGGACAACAAATCTTTTGTTCTGACACCACAAATGCAAAATCTGACATATTAACAACTGCTAATAATTGTGTTTGCATACCTATGTATCTGGCATTTTTAAAAAATGTTTTTTTCTGTATCACAAAGCTTAGGTTTTGTATGCCTACAAAATTTTTGGTTTTAAAAGTAAAAAATGCATAGTATTTTGTTAGTAGCAGCATGATGAAGTAGGTATCTCACATTCTACTAACAAGATGGTGGGAAATAATCTGTTCCCCTGAGCCCTCATGCAGTCCTTGTAATTATTTGTAGATCCCTGACACCCTATTAAATAGAGTGCTTAGATATCATGGTGATAGGATCCTTAGAAATACCAGAGGCAGACTGATACACAATTAAAGAGACAGGTCACGTCCTCACAGAACTTACAATCTAAGTACTGACAGGCAAAACAACACACACATAGCTCTTCCTCGCTCCTTATCCTGCCCATGACCATCCCCGATACACATTCTTCCCAACCTGAACTGGAGAAATTCTCCACTAGCCATATCTAGCTGCTTTACAGCAGCTTAATAATTTTAGCAGACAGGATAGTCTGATGGGGAATATTGGGATGTACAGTAGTGATTTGGGGGACAGTCTTTGCTGAGATTATTGGGATGTAGAAGGTGTCACATAAGAGTATCTTAAGGAAGAATTTAAAGGGGACAGGTGAAGACATAGAGGACCAGGTTGGCAATAGTGGTTCAGCCTCAACCTTAGAACAAAAAGAAAAGGAGTACTTGTGGCACCTTAGAGACTAACCAATTTATTTGAGCATACGCTTTCGTGAGCTACAGCTCACTTTATCGGATGCATACTGTGGAAACTGCAGAAGACATTATAGACACAGAGACCATGAAACAATACCTCCTCCCACCTCACTCTCCTGCTGGTAATAGCTTATCTAAAGTGAGCAGGAGAGTGGGGTGGGAGGAGGTATTGTTTCATGGTCTCTGTGTCTATAATGTCTTCTGCAGTTTCCACAGTATGCATCCGATGAAGTGAGCTGTAGCTCACGAAAGCTTATGCTCAAATAAATTGGTTAGTCTCTAAGGTGCCACAAGTACTCCTTTTCTTTTTGCGAATACAGACTAACACGGCTGTTACTCTGAAACCTTAGAACAATGATTTACCCACCATTTCTGTTTTGTTTTGACCCTAAAGTTTCCTTATACATTAACTACTGCAAGAAATGACTTTTTAAAGATAAACAATACCACTTAGCCAGCTCCCCTCAACTTCATATCCAGTTTAAGGTCACCTGAATGACAATAACTAGCGCAATATATAATGAGTTTCAAAAGAGAAACAACTACATATGTTCATTATCTTGCACCATTCAGACAGAAATCAGCCTGAGAAAAGTTCTAGGAGTGTTTGAAAAATGGCCATGTCTTGCAAAGGGACTCAACTTCTCACCCAATGAAGTGAGCTGTAGCTCACGAAAGCTTATGCTCAACTAAATTTGCTAGTCTCTAAGGTGCCACAAGAACTCCTTTTCTTTTGGCAAATACAGACTAATACGGCTGCTACTCTGAAACTTCTCATCTGTAAGGTCTAACACAATCCTTCCCATGGAAGAACCTCTTTGATATCAGATCTCAAGAACAGCAATTTTTCTATTTGTATCCTCCTGCAAGGTTCAAATAATTACTTTTCCAGATTTGTATAGAAAAGTTTTGGTGGGGTGTTTTGTTTTCTTTTGTTTCTGAGGGAGAATTTTCTCGCTAGTACTTTACCTCTGGAAATCTGTTTAATTTTCATTCCAGTGCTAGCAAAGATTGCTAATATGGGCAGTGGCAGGGGTACTTTTACTAGATTGTTGTAGGTCCATTCAAATAGAATATTTGATATACAGATACATTTCCACAGAATAAATTTCCTGAAACATTTTCACATGTAATCAAAGGACACTCATAAAAAATATGCATTTCACAACACTACTTATGTGGTACCCTTTATATAGCACCTAATCTAATAGAGAAAAGGCAAAATGCCTCTCCCATTATTGCATTTGGAAAATATTCATTTGGATGTGAAAATGGAGAATTCTGTTTTCATGATTTAATATGTGATTGCCAAGTGTTTAATATTTAGTACTTGTAGTGCCACATAAAAATATAAATTTATCAGACATGAATATTGCATCTTTAACGACAGCAAAATCAGTTTTAAAAGACTACCCATGAGACCAGCAAAAACTGGTTGCCTTCTACATGTGTTTTTTAACTACAGATCAAACTAAACTGCACTGCAATCATTGGATTGCTTCTTGGAGTTGGTCCTTAATTATAAATTGTTCTTTAAGTATTTTTGATTTCCAGCAACAATTTGATTAGAGTTATTTTCTGAGTTTCAATAAAATTCAGTGACAAATTTGATTATTATTTACATGGAGCGGTCTTTTATTTTTATATTCTTGTAGTACTAGGATACCAATTCTTATTCTCCAACAGACAAGCTCAACAGCACACTTACATTGTCTCTCTCAAAACAAACATGTCTAGTAAGTGGATGGCATGGGAAATCTGAATTGTTTTGTGCATTTTTGAAAACTTTTTAAGACAGAACAAATAAAATACTACTTCAGATTAATACTAGGGTGGATAAAAATCAATGATTAAAAAAATAATAAAAAATCAGATTTTTTAAATTTAAATCTTTTTTTTAATAAAATGCTTTTTGAGGGAAAAACCTATCTCAAGATAGTTTTAATTAAGATACATTATAGCTCAAAGATATCTCATCATGAAATAGGGATTATAAATTCTAATTCTATAGTATGAGAATATATTCAAGTAATGTTTAAGAAAAGTTTTGTAAATGAGTTTTGCAGTTCTCAAACTGTGGATTTGTGTCTCCAGAGATAACATACTTGTTAACGGAAAAAATGTTTTAAAAGAAATAAATAATATATAGAGGTGAGAAATAACAGACCTCAACCCTATTGTCCCTCTGCAAATTTGTGTACACAGAGTCAATCCCTGACCACTCTCTAAAAGTGCAAAGTTTCAAAAAGTTCAATGAATAGAAGATTGTTGCGGGTGGAATAGATCTGGACAAGTAGAAGACGTCTGGAGATTTATGCGAGAAGGGGGGGACAGGCAGTAGAAACAAAAGTGAAACTGTTTGAGCAGCATATTCCAGACGTTTTGAGGTCTTTCTGAGTGTACCTTCATTGATTTGAGATCTGCCATACCATTCTCTCACTTGAAGGGAAAACCTATAATGGCAGCAGGCCATAAAAGAGACCCAGTGTGGGACTATTTTAATTAAGTTCCCCTACCTGTGGATATGACAGGTATGCATGCAAAATGCAAACAGTGCAACAAAGAAATGCAAGGCCTGGTTGGCCGAATGAAACAACATCATGAGAAGCGTTCCTTCTCAGGAGGAAGCTGCGTTGAAGATGATGAAAGGAACATGTCTGAACACGCAGGATCTTCAGGTTGGTAAACTTTTTTATTTCATACTTCTTTCTTAAGGACTGCCTGTCTTCCTTCTGGACTATTCTTGAATTCTCATATTTGAGCAAAAAATATAGCTGTTACTCTATGGTACTATCACTTTAGATGCAGTTGTGATAAAAAATAAATAGCTGAAATAGACAGATCTTCCTTTTACAATTTCACCTTTAAAGTAGTACTGAGTGTCAGTGAATACAATGAGTAATACTAAATGAGAAGGATAGTAATAATAATTAAATAACGGCATTGACTTATTTTGTTTAGGAGAATCCATCCTCAACATACAGGATTCTGAAGACTATCCACTTTCAAGGTCACCGTCATTTTCTATAGTTTTAGAGTTATCTGCCAATGATAGTGTTTCAGTCACATCATGTATGTCACATTGCCACAGTATATCATCTGTAGCAAAAAGAAAAAAAAATCTCCATCATCCAGAAACAACCATAGATAACTTTGTGATAAGAACCAGCAGCTTACAAAAAGAGGTAATTGATGAAAAAATTACCTGGTGGATCAGTCCACCCAGCAGAGCACATGTCGCAGGCTAATTACTGGATCAAGTGTATGAAAGAGAAACTGAGCAGTGTGCGAAAGGTCTAGAGCGTGAAATTGTTAACCTGAGTCTTGATGGGTGGAGCAATGTCCACAGGTATCCTGTTGTATGTGCTTGTGTGACAACAGAAGAAGGGAATGTCTTCCTTACAGAAACAATTGATACATCAGGAAATACACACACAGCAGAATACTTACAAGAAATAGCAGTAAAAGCTATAACAAACTGTGAAAAAAATTCAAATGTCTAGTATGCAGCTTGGTCACAGACAATGCTGCAAATGAATCCAAGATGAGAAGAAATGATTTAGAAGCGAGTGAAGAGAGTCCCAAGCTAATAACATACGGTTGCAGTGCTCATTTGATGCACCTCCTAGCCAAAGACTTCTAATAAAGGCTAATGTTGTTGAAATTGGAAAATACTTCCATAACAACCACTCAGCAGTAGCTGCTCTGAAAAAAAATGGGAGGAACCAAGCTAACTCTCCCACAAGACGTGCGATGAAACTCAGTAGTGAACAGTTTTGAGCACTATACCAAGAACTTGCCTAATCTCATGATAGTTTGTGAACAAAATCGTGAAAAAATAGATGGCACTGTCACAACCAAAGTTCTCAACATTGGGCTTATGAGAAATGTTGAACTCATGCTGAGTACCCTGAAGCCTATTTCTGTAGCCTTGAACAAAATGCAGGGAAATAAATAGCTGTTTTATTGCTGACGCTGCTGAAATTTGGAAGGAACTGAGTGAGATCTTAAAAAGAGAAATATGCAATGACAGAGTTAAATTACAAGCATTAAAAAAAGGAATGGGACAAGCACTATCTCCAGCTCATTTTCTTGCAAATA